TTAATTACTTTATCATTGTTACTATTTTTCTGATGAAGACGAATTTTATTTTCTTCACATTCTTTGATATTTTTTTCTTTGTTGAGAAGATTCTGTTTCCTTAAATTCTGTTGAAAAGTAGGAGCTATAAATTGTGATTCAAATAAAAAATAAAAAAATAAAAATATTGTGACATACTTTTTGTTTTTCTAATTTCTCTAATTTGTCCTGTAAAAAGTTTAACATTCAAAATAATTATTAAAAATATATTTTTGAGTTCTCATTTAAGAACTAACCAGTAAATTTACCTGTAATACTAAGTCTTGATCAACCATTCTTGATAGTATGTCTTTAGATTGATTTTTTTGTGTATTTGAAGAGCTATTATTTTTCTTTGAAACTGCCAACAAATTTAATATTTATATATTAATTTATTTTATTAGTTTTAGACTTGATATTTGAATTTATATATTTGTTTTGTATAGGTATTGAAGGTACTGCTATGTTATTAAATTGTTATAATCTAAGTAGGTAACTACATAATGCTAATGCATATAAAATAAGACATAAGTAATAATATTTAAAAAAATATTGCCAAATTTTTGTTCTAAATAACACAAGCAAATATTTTATTTTAAGTATTTTTAGAAACAATATGATGTACAATATTCATTTATAGTATTACTAAACTCCAAAGGTTAAATATTAATTAATATTGTGATTCATTATTACTATGTTTATGTGATGACRTTAAAAAGGTTTGAAATTAAATCAGTTGTAAATTCTTAAACTACATAGTGCTAGCATTTTAACACCATCATAATATGAACGTAGTATATGAATTATTATGAATAGCTGCATTTAAATTCGACACGCATTTATAGAAGATATTTTTTGAATTTAGTAATAGTTTTGATACAAATGTGATGATATAAACACAAGTCTAAAGATCAATTAGGTATATTGATTTATATAAATTTGTGTATAAGAGCCTCAACATTGTATAAAAGGCTGTATATTTCCAGGTACTAAATTGAAACATTTTTCAGAGAAGTGGAGTAATATTTAAATAGCTAGAATTTGTAGAGCAGTGTCCATCAGACCCCCATAGTTTTTAAACACCTTAAATTCATTAAGGCTAAAAAAAATAAAGACAGGCTCTACAGACTTTGAGTAGTCGGWGARGCAATACAGCTTGCAAATTTTATCCAATACAATTAAATACATCATAACCGCGTCACGGATGAACGTTTCCGCTTCAATATGATCATAATATAATACTCAGTACTCACAAATAGAAAAAAAACTCATATTGTCGGGAAGATGAAATTCATTTCTGTGACAATCAGAAAAGTAGACATCCGAAAGACGGGTGGAATGTTAAATACGCGACTAAATCAGGAAAAAAWAAAAAAAAAATTATTACAATATCTGGAGTTAAGAGTTTCTGTATAGGTACTGATATACTATTCGTTTGAACTTCTAAGTTGAAAACTTGAAACGTGCGAAAGTTCGATTGCGATAGCAACTATCGTGATGATGGGACTCAGGAATGGAGACCAGAACAGCTGATGTTTAGAAAATGAGATAAGAGGAACTATCGTCRCACGGTCGCATAGACCTGTAAAGATCTAATGATCGTGGTTGTATGTTGTTAATGTTGTTGTTCAATGTTCATTGTTCACAGTAGTTTCATCTAATAACCACGATTAAAGACAATGGTTGTCTACTTGTCCAAAGGTCATATTACATATAAGCAAAATCACTTGACAATATTGAAATGTTGCTC